ATGTTGTATGATTCCATGAAATGTCCACAACATTCAAATCTGTAGTGTCAGAAAAGTATTCACATACTTCAAGGGAATTAAAACAATGTAGATACTTCATTTTAATGGGAAACTATGTAGATTAAAATGACGTAGATACCACAACCAATTAGTGGTTGTCAGGAGATGGTAAGTGACTACTAGTGAATATGGACTGGATTTCTTGTTGAGGTGGTTGTTATCAAGGTCAGTGATGTAGGTTGTGAAAGAATTCACAGAGAGAAGAAAGTGTAGAGAGTAAAGGGTTTATTTTTACTTTCCTAAGTGAGGAAATGGGCTAGGTGTTGAGATATGTAATAGCACCAGCACTAGGACTTGAGCAGTTAGGGCTTTGAGTATTTGTTTGTTAGTGGGGTGGTTTTAGATCAAGATATTTCAGTTGGGCTGCAACTTGTTTCAATTTTATGGTTGGATGTAGGGATCTGCTTGTCCAGTCATTGTGGACTGGTATGTCCTTTTTCATGGGTTCCTAGAGCCTGTGAAAATTCAGGGCACTTCCACTAATTTTTTTTGTCCTGAGTATAAACTCTCAAAAATGATTAGGATCAACCATGCTTGGGGGTCTAGCCAGCTCTGGGAAAGAGGGCCTGAGAAAGTGGCTTTTGTCCTATTACCAAGTATAGTATTGAAACAATACTCAAATTAGACAGTAAACTTTAAAGCAACAATTTCTTCTCAAGTACTTTCAAAGGTAAGACTAACAGTTAATATTTCAAAGAATGAATGAGTACTTCCTAAATTTTACAATTTGTGAAAATATAGAGAGGATAAGAAAGTGCCATAAATTCATTTTACCAGTGTGAAATGGATTCTAAGATTCTGGAAAACTGAAAGTCATGGCAAATTTCACTAATTAATATGTAAAATATAATAAATAAAATTGAAGACAGATAAGTGTAAAACCTTGTTTTAAAATAAAACCTCATAATGAATTAGAATTTTTGTTGAGAAACAAAAAAGGAGAGTTTCTTCATCACAAAACTGACCATTCTGGTATTAACTCTTTAAAGAATAATATAGAAGTACCAAAAACAAGTGGTGGGCTCAGATGTCCCTCCAAACCAGGCTTTCCTCAGGGCTATGACCAGAGCAGTTTATTATTTTGGCCCAGATACATTATTTATTATTTTAATCTTTGTGTACAGTGATAATACAGGAAATTATGGAATAGGCATTGTTGTGAGAGTCACTTAAAATAAGAGTGGGGAATCTATTAAGGAGGTGAGGTCTGTGCACATGTTGTGCCTCAGTTCTCAGAGGCGCTATTCAACTGCTGACCTGTGCTACACTGAGCATAAGTGTGAGAGAATACACATCCTCAAATAATTGTTTTTTTAAAATTTTTTATTGATTATGCTGTTACAGTTATTCTATTCCCCCCTTCATTCCCCTCCACCCTACCCCCCATCCCCACCATTACACCCCCCTTTAGTGTATGACCATGTGTCTCAATTCCTTTAGATTCTATATTTCCCATGCTATTCTTGCCCCCCACCTATCTTCTATCTACTTCTATTTTCTATGCTACTTATTTTCTGTACCTTCTCCCCCCTTCTCTTCCTCCCACTCCCCTGTTGCTAACCCTCCTTGAGATCTTCATTTCTATGTTTCCACTCCTGATCTAGCTGTCCTTTTAGTTTGCTTTCGTTTTAGGTGTGGTTGTTAATAACTGTGAGTTTGTTGTCCTTTCACTGTTCATGTTTCTTTAACTTCTTTTTCTTAGATAAGTCCCTTTAACATTTCATATAATAAGGGCTTGGTGATGATGAACTCCTTGAATTTGATCTTATCTGAGAAGCACTTTATCTGTCCTTCCATTTTAAATGAAAGTTTTGCTGGATAGAGCAATCTTGGATGTAGGTCTTTAGATTTCATGACTTGGAATACCTCTTTCCAGCCCCTTCTTGCCTGTAAGGTCTCTATTGAGAAATCTGCTGACAGTCTGATGGGGACTCCTTTATAGGTGATTGTCCCCTTAGCTCTTGCTGCTTCTAGGATTCTCTCCTTCATTTTAATTTTGGCTAATATAATTATGATGTGCCTTGGTGTGTTCCTTCTTGGGTCCAACTTCTTTGGTATTCTCTGAGCTCCCTGGATTTCCTGGAAGTCTATTTCCTTTGCCAGATTGGGGAAATTCTCCTTTATTATTTGTTCAAATAAGTTTTCCACTGGTGGCTGTGCCTTTCCCCCTTCTGGTACCCTTATAATTCGGATGTTGGAGCGTTTAAAGATGTCCTGGAGGTTCCTAAGACTCTCCTCATTTCTTTGAATTCTTGCTTCTTGACTCTTTTCTGTTTGGCCATTATTTGCTTTCTTCTGGTCCACTCCATTGATCTGAGTTCCAGTTTCCTTTTCATTGCTATTGGTATCCTGTGCAATTCCATTCATTTCAATTAGTTTCACCTTCATATATTTGTCTAATTTGTCGGTATAATCAACCAGTTCTGTGAGGATCCTGATCACCAATGTTTTAAACTGTGCGTCTGTGAGTTTTGCTATTTCTTCATCGCTTAGATTTATCTCTGGGGCTTTGAGGTCTTCCTGCGACATTTTTGGTCTGTTCTGGCCCTTTAAGTGTGAGAAGTGGCGCCTTGGACTCCCAGGTCGCTGGGTTGTGACGCTGTATCTGGGGGCGTGGTCAGAGCGGGGAAATGGCGGCCCCCTCTGCTGTTTCTCACAGCTGGGTGTGGAGGAGCAGCGCCTTAGGTGGTTCACCTGGGCCGGGCCACTCAGAGTTGCTGGGTTATGACGCTGTATGTGGAGGTGGGGTCAGAGCAGGGAAATGGTGGCGCCCTCCACTGCCGCTTGCCGTGGGGACCTGCCGGCCAGGTCCAAATGCCCACTCCCTCACCTGTCCACCCACGCACAAATGCACGACCTCAGTCAACACGCAGCCCCGCTGACCCGCTGTCTCCCCTGCAGCTGCCAGCCTGCCTGGTTGCTCGCTCGGTCGCTCACTAGGTCCACTCTGCGCCTGGATTCCGCGTCTGGATTCCGCACCTGAGTCCGGCTGACTGAGACCTCCTGTGCAATCCCGCTTCACCAGCCGCTGGTTTCGCCCCTTACCAGTCAGGCTGAAGAATTTGTTGTTAACGGACTTCCAAAAAGTTCAATTTTCCGTGTTCTGCCTATGTTTTCTATTGCTAATATTTAGTTGTCTCTAAACTTGGTTGTGTGAGAAGGCACGGCACATCCACCTATGCCTCCATCTTGGCGGAAGTCTTCAAATAATTGTTATAGCATTATTTATGGACTTTACACCCTCCTATTTTTTTAAACCTTGTTGTAGGATATGTTTAGTAGTTTTTAGGGAGGAGGAAGAGAGAAGAGAGAGAGAGAAAGAATAAGGGACAGAGAGCTGTTGATCAAATGTACAACCTAGATATGTTCCCAGAAATTGAACCTACAACACTTTGGTGTATGTAGTGTTCAGCAGAACCATCAGGCCAGGGTCTCCTCTCAGTAGTTTTTCTTTTCCTTGTATACATACTGGAGCTAATTCTTTATTAAGTGTAGTCCTTCATTTGCATGAGAGGTTTCGGTTTTGTGTTTAGAAATCTTGCCTTTCTTTGTTTTAGCCTGCCCTAGTCAGCTTGTGTCAGGTTGCAACCATGTATTTTTTTAACTGAAATACTTGTATGAATGTTTTGTTTAATTTTTTCAAGTGTAGCCTGGACAACTTGTTTCGATCACACTTGATTTGGTAGTAGACATTTTCTATACTTATTCTGTAAGTCTGGTCTCAGACAAAGTGACCATGTGTGAAACTTAAAACATTACAATGAGAGGGCTTTGTTATTATCTGTTTAGGCGTTGATAGTCCTTTTTTTACTTAAAGGTGTTCCCTAGTAATTTTTTGGGTTTGTGTATATTTGCAAATAATTCTGGCAGCTTTTAGTGGCTTATCCTTAGTTATGCAGAGATCTGAAGTTGAGTCCGTACAGATAGCTAAGTTGTGCGTGGTAGTAATATGGGAAACTTTGAAAAACTGAATAATAGGAGCCTTTGAACCCTGCCCCGTAAATAGAACTAATTATCGCATTCTGCTTCTGCCCCGTAGACAGCTGTGTCCTTGAGCCCTGCCTCTTCCCCTAGACAGGACTAATTACCTCATTCTGCTTCTGTATCTTGCTTTTGCCACATAGATAGGAAGACCCCAATCTATATATTCCCCAAGAATCCTTTGTTTATGGCTCAGAATTTGGAGGCTGACTCCTCTGAGCCCATGCATGTAAAAGGAATAAACCTTGTACTCCAAAATCCCTCAGTGTTTGGTTGCTTCATTTCCCACAACATTTGGTGCGTTGGCCGGGAAGCGCGCGCGATCTCACACGAATTCAGGCCATTTGCCACCGTCTGGAGCCCGGCCGCAGGTCCAACTGGGGAAGCGGGGGTGCACGTGCCCTGAGATTTCTTAGGCCCCGTCTGGTTGGGGCAGCGGCCGCTGACCCGCACGGCCAGGGGGGAAGTGAGGGATCCGGACTACGACTTGACTGGAGGCGCCAAACTTGGTGAGTGCCCCGGGGACTTGACCCGAGACTGGAAGAGGCTGATCACCTCTCATTGGAACCTTGGGTCGGATTCACTCTGACCACTTGACCCCTTCTCAGGAGGATTGGCCTGAGCTTAGGTCGGATCCATACTGGATGACCACTTGACCCCTTACTCAGGGGGGGATTGGTCTGAGCTTAGGTCGGATCCATACTGGATTCGACCACTTGACCCCTTACTCAGGGGGGGATTGTTTAAACTCGGAGTGCTTGAGAGAGTGAAAGTATGAGTGAATGTGCCCCTGTCCTTTGTGTGTCTACACCCTGTCTTGGGGCTCGGCGGGTAAGCGCATATCCAGCGCTCCGAGCCCTCTCAGGTGTATAAGTAAACCGAAAACTCAGAAAAGAATTTCTTTGATCGGAGGGGTGCGCGCCCCTCCCCCCTTCTCTTTCCCCTTATCGGCACCCCAGGTGGCGGGGCGGGAGGAGGAGGCTATCTCCTGCGTACAATCGGGATTGCCAAGGTGCTGGGTCGCTCCTCCAGGCAACTGCTTCCCCTCCCCAGCCCCGGAGACAGGGTCGGAGGGCGAGAGCCAGGGGCCCGGCGGCTGGGGGCAGGCGAGCAGTCCCCAGTGCGCAACGGGCTGGTCGGACTGTCTGGCCTAGAGCAGGAGGTTTCCCTGCTGGCCGGAGGCCTGGATCTTATTTGGGAGTGCTGTACTGTGGACCCCCTCCCCGTCACCATGCCGCGTCGCACCCAGGTGTGCCCGGCAAGTGCGTGTCCCCAGTGGTGACCCGCTGCCTCGTGGGATCCTGGCCTGACTTCGGTGGCCAGCGGCAGCCCTTCCCCCCCAGGCTACTGCCTGCGAGATTTGGAAGGCTGACCAGGGCAGCACGCCCCGCTGGCTATTTCCTAGCAACGGGTAGGGTTTCAGCCAGTGAGTAGGGCTGATGGCACTGAAGTCGGTTTTCTGGTGCCACAGCTTGAGGCGTGAGGAATTTTAAGTTCTGAAATGTTTGCCAGTGAGGACCTTGTAATTCGACTGGTCTGGCAATTGTGAGACGGGCTCATCATACTTTTAAAAGAGTCTTGAGCCTTTCCCCCGAGTTTGATTTTATTGGCCATTTTAACTCTTAGCTCAGAGAGGGGAGTGTGCTGTTTGCCTTTCTGATTAACCTTTAGAACTGCAAGTGATGAGAGTGAAGCCATATCACAGAAAAGGCCTTCGCCAATGGGTGACCGATCTACACACATTAAATTCTCCTGATCCAGATTTCTCCAAGCTGTGTGGAATTCCAACCAGCGCCCCTGGAGTGGTCACCTAAGAGAGACTTTTTTAAAGAGACTAAATTAATGCTGCAACCAAGCAAGAGTGTTTTCAGATTCTTCATGCTGAAAGTAACTTTGTAAAGTCTGTGCTAATTCTTCCAAAATTGAAATGTAACCAAACCTGTTACTTTTGTGTATCCCATGTGTTTATATGATTTTTCAACTGACTGAATTTAAGAGTTTGAGTTATAACAACCCAGAAATGCCTTATTTAATTCCTGTTTGTACTCTATAATGTATATAGAAATTGTTCCTTGTAATTGCATTCGAGAATAGCAAATAGCAGATTTCACAGGCCTATTTTGATTTGATTTTATAAACAAGAATAGGGAGATATTGCTGACCGCTCTGCCTGATTTTGGAATCGTACAGCTGCCCTTAGGGTCTGGGGGCGAGAGGCGACCTCTGGAGTGCGAGACTCCCTGGTGGCAGGCACTGCCTTGGGTTCCTCTCCCTGCCCCCCCCTTGAGTTTGGTCGGAAGTCGGTAGCGGGTGGGACTGCCCCCCAGCTTTGACAAAGCCCTGAGTCCCCGTGTATTCTGGGAGAAGCGCTTTCTGACTTCGATCACCTTAGGCCTGAATGCCTACTGGGGAGAGGTGCAACTCCCGTGCCTTGCTAGAGTTAGGAAAAATCTGGCATCACAAAGACTTGCTGTTAAACCTGTGACATCTATTCTGCTAAGTGTTTTCATTCATATGATAAGGGTCCGAGGGGTCTTAGTGTATGGGAGGCTTAGATGGAGCCTCTGGGATGGCTGATGGGCTGTCTCTGGATTGGGAGCAGGCTTGGGACCTAGTTTGCCCCTTCTCTCTGGTGCCCCTCGGTTGTCCCTGCGCCCCTGCGCGCTGGCTCGGCCACTGGGGCATGCCCTGTGCTAATTCCCATCATCTGTCTATGTAGGGGAGCTGACCTGGGTGTCCTGGCTTCCCATGACTTTGGCATGGACTGCCCTGGTTGTAGATAGGTTCGGGGTTCCCTCCGGGGGCCGGCCGGCTCCGAAGGTCGGCCATTCTGGGGTACAAAACGTTTCTAGCTACAGCAGTCAGGTTCTCTATGTAACTGGTTCTGATAGGAATAGCTCTAGTTTTGAAAGTCATGAACTAAGGTCCGAGAGTGACCACCTAATTTATAGGGTATTTGCAAGGTCTAAGCTTCAGAAAGGTTGAAAAGAATGTGCCTGCAAATCTAGGGACTTTTAGTAGAAGATGCCCATAGTACTAGGAACTTTTAACTGTCAGATACTGAGTTTAAGTAGAGTCCTTCCCAGTGTCGGAAAGGAACAGAGATTAAAGGTGAATTATAGATAAATCTAGATAGGTAAAAAGGCTATAGAAGGTTTATAAATATTGCAGAAAGTTTGTAAGAAATTATATAATATTAATAATAGAAGGTATAAGGCATAGAGATGCAATCTTAATAGGTATCAGAAGGAAAAAGATTTTCCATCATGCTTTGTATTTTTCTCCTGACCCCTCCGGAATTTGGCATTGTCTGAAGGAATAATGACACTATAAGGTTTCTTTGCATAAAACCAGTAAGACCAGTCATTAATAGTAGTTTTGTTAACCAGGACTTTGGCTGAAATGTCACGCCTGAAGGAGGCATATAGGTTCTGGTCATTACCAGAAAGCTCAGAGGAACTAGGATTGACCTGTGAAGCTAGTGCAAGCCCACAAGAAAAGCCTGGTACTTTAGTTAGTTGTGTGGTTCGTGCCAGTCTTTCCAGGGGAGGAATGAAGGTTGCTTTCCTGAAAGATGGCTGAAAAGGAACCTGTAAGCACAATGAACACTCAAGGATTTGAGTGAAACAACTGGTACAGGCGAGGCCAGATGTGTGGCGCTGCTATGCCCTGAGGGGCAGATTGAAAAGTCAATCTAAGAGTTCCCTGGGTGAGTGTGTGAGTTCCAGCAAAGCAGACTTAAGGATCACAAGTGATCCAGGCTGCTCTTGGTGTGTTTATGCAAACGAACAGTCAAAATCAAAAGCGGGACCCAAAGTAGTCCCTGTAATAACAGTGAGGGTAATATTAAGGAGAAAAATTATAGTTCAAGGAAAATCACAGTGCTCAGTATTGGACATCAGAATAGTACAGCTAACTGTCTTGAAAATTTGCTCTCATTTGAAAGTTAAAACCAGGTTTGTGATGTCACCAACGATGTACAATTTACAGGTGCAAAGGACCTTGTCAAATTGCCACTGTTAAATGTCATTGTAGGAAGGACCTTGCAATAGAATGTCTTCCCAAAAGACAGTCTCACAGGCGCAGAGACTGGTTTGGGGATGGTTGTATAAATTAACCTGTGTGTTTTTCTGTTTTCATAGGGCCTATGCCTATGACTTGCCTATGCCTATGAGAGATTGGTTGCAAGATAGGCCTCACTTAAGGAGCCCATCTCCATCATTGCCCCACTGAGACTCAACGGTTTGGCTGAACTAAGTAGTTGGGTTAGTGAAAGACTGGGGTGGTCTGTGGGCTTTACTTTAGAACTAATTTTCTCTTTTCTGTCTTGATAGCTTGGACAGAAAGGGCTCAGAAACCTGAAAGGAGGGAACTCCTAATCATTACTGAAGTGCCTGCCGTTGTCAATTAATAGTTATGATTAAATTGTGCTTCCAATTTCTTGCCTAATCTGTCACCTCCAAAATATGACCTGAGCAAAATGACAGCGGTCCAGTAATGCCAGCGTTTGGACACCAAGCCTGCGATGTCCGGGTGACAGCCAACTTACCCTGTGAGGTCTTTCCCCTTACAGGAAGGACTCCCTCCGTGCTGCACCCCCCCTCTGATCACCCCCTAACCCAAGGGTAAATAAGACAACGTCCATTTCCAGCTTGGAAGAAGTTAAAAGAAGATGAGACCTCCGTCCCTTTTCCTTTATATAATTATGAAGTAGGTATAAATCTAAAAGGAAGAATATTGATACGGAGTACATCCATGGGGAGCCCCAGAAAAGATTTGGGATGAGATCCAAGGTTCGGGGTATCCAGGAGATATTGAGGTGTACTCACCACTCCCCGGGAGAGGGGGATGAATGGAGCAGGGCCACTGGGAGATGTTGTGCATAGCAACAGGTTTGCGGCTGACCTCTAAAGTGATTATTTGACATATAGCTTTTGGCTAGTTTCATAGATATATTAAATAGTATGGCCAGGCTTGGAGCTAAGGAAATAAAGTCACTTACCCAGGATGTGGCTCAGAGCAGAGCCCCTGAGGGGGGAGGCCTGTGTCAGAGCTTAGAAAAGATCAACTCCAAGACATGAGGGGATAACTACCCAGGTGAAAGAGGGTGCCACATGGTTTAAGGCGGGGTGCCGACCCCTGCAGCTTTGGTGGAAGAGGCCCACGTGGCTTTGGGGTTCCCCCTTTGGCTGTGTGTCCTGGAGGGCAAGAGAGACTTTGACTAGAACTTGGTACAAAAAAAGAACTCTTGCCAGTGGACTGTGAGGGAATGCCACATAACTTTAGATTGGCTAAAGATCCTGCCTGATGCAGCTGATGGTGACAGCAGCCTGAGACACAGATGTGTGCTCTTTCCTGGTTTGCGGTGCCCGGAGTTGGAACAGTGCAAGTAGGGGGCAAAAGACATGAAAGTATTTTAGGTTAAAAAAAAGAGAAGAAAAAACCTTGGTTTCTGACTGCTCTTTTGCAATAATAGAACTAGAATTATAAATAATAGCAAGGGAAATACCTAGTCTTTACACCATCTGTATTCTTTTTGTTCTAAATCTTTGTTTGCTTTGTTAGAACCATGTAAGTTGTTCTACAGAGAAGTGTGTAATAGTCCAAAAGGAAAAAGAAAGTCTTAGAATCCCTCCATAATAATAGATCACAGGAAGAGAAAAATAATGAAGAAAGAAACCTCATTAATACTCTAAATCTAAGAAAAGGGGGGACTTGTTTATTCCTACAAAAATATATATATTATGCTTAAACAAGCAACCAGTGCTGTTTAGCATAAAAGGGGGGAATAATATGGGAAACTTTGAAAAACTGAATAATAGGAGCCTTTGAACCCTGCCCCGTAAATAGAACTAATTATCGCATTCTGCTTCTGCCCCGTAGACAGCTGTGTCCTTGAGCTCTGCTACAGCCCCTGGACAGAACTAAATTATCGCATTCTGCTCCTGTGTCCTTGAGCCCTGCCTCTGCCCCTAGACAGGACTAATTACCGCATTCTGCTTCTGTATCTTGCTTTTGCCACATAGATAGGAAGACCCCTAATCTATATATTCCCCAAGAATCCTTTGTTTATGGCTCAGAATTTGGAGGCTGACTCCTCTGAGCCCATGCATGTAAAAGGAATAAACCTTGTACTCCAAAATCCCTCAGTGTTTGGTTGCTTCATTTCCCACAACAGTAGGTGCACTTAAAGTGAAATCATATAGGTGAAAGTAGTTTAAATTATGTGGTTCCAGTGTTGTAAAATTGCTCTAACAAGATTATTTTCGTATGAATGCAATGTAAGTCTGTCGGGACTGTTCCAAGGACTTTAGAGTTATCATTTCTTCTTTGAGTAAATAGATTTAAGGAGGGATGTTAGCATGGCAGTAATGCAAATAAAGTGTTCTTTTTTAGTTTTTAGAGAAAAAACAATGGGCATGATCACACTTAAGCTGTTTCCCCTCAGTGCACCGGCGCAACATGCCTCTTGAACTTTTGAAGTATGTGGTTATTCATACTTCCCTCTGCCGGAGTGCCCTGCATTCCAATCTACGTGGGACGAATTCCAAGACCCACTTGGTTACATCGCGAAAATCAGGCCCATCGTGGAAAAGTCAGGCATTTGCAAGATCCACCTGCCCGAGGTAAGCCTCTGAAAGAAAATATGAGGGGGTGGAGAAGAGTAGCGTTGGATTCAGTGTGGAGCAACGCACAACTCTTTAACAAATAGAGTCTTTATTTGTTATATATAAATATAAATATAAATATAAATATAAATATAAATATAAATATAAATAATATAAGCTTTATACCTATATTTAAATATAAAGCTTTATATTTAAAACTCTTGGCAGTTAATTCAGTCCTCCAGCCCACCGATTTGTCTGTTTTTAAATTTCTACCTACAACATTCTCCATGAAAACAGACTTGTATAACTGTTTTGGGAAAGAAAAGGTTGGTGGGATTGCAGACTGATACAACCATTATGGAAAACAGCATAGAATTTTCTCAGAAAAATAAAAATCGACCTCCCTTTTGACCCAGCAATTCCACTGCTAGGATTATATCCCAAGAATCCTAAAACATCAATTTCATAGAACCTGTGCACTACAATGTTCATAGCAGCACAATTTACAATAGCCAAGAGTTGGAAGCAACCTAGGTGCCCATCAGTAAATGAATGGATCCAAAAATTGTGGTACATATACACAATGGAATTCTATGCAGCAGAGAGAAAGAAGGAGCTACTACCCTTTGCAACAACATGGATGGAACTGGAAAGCATTGTGCTGAGTGAAATAGGCCAGGCATTGAAGGACAAATACCATATGATCTCATGTTTAACAGGAAGCTAAATAATAAAATAAACAAGCAAATAGAATAAAAACAAAGACACTAAAATAGGGAACAAGTGGTCAGCGACCAGAGGGGAGAGGGAAGGGAATTTAAGGGGAAAAACGGGGAGGGATTTTGAAAAACAAGTATGAAAGACACAGGGATGAGGACTGGGGCGGGGGGAATGGGAGGGAGGTGGAGAGATGGGGCGGCGGGGGCTGGGATGGGAGAAATTGACAAAAAAACTGTACTTGAAAAATAACTAAATAAATTTTAAAAAAAGAAAATGCAAAAAACATTATCATATTTTTAAAGATTGATTATTACCTCTTAGCATTCTGGAAAGCTAGACATTTACTTTAAACAGTTTTTACACCTAAGTTTAATGGGATTTTTTGTTGTTTGCGTTTCTATAGGACATATGCGGAAAACAGTTTTTGGTTATTGCTTTGGCTCCTATTTCCCCAATTTATCCACTGACAACCATTTCAGATTTTGGAGCAAAAACAACCAGAAGTCTTAAAACAGAGAAGCAGATGGTTTCTCTGTTTTCTTGTCACTTTCATCCTCTATTGTATCATAATAACTTATCCAGTTTGTATGTTTTTAAACTAACAGGACTGCCTGCCTCCCTTTGCAGTCGAAGTTGACAACTTTAAATTTATTCCTCGAATCCAGAAGCTAAGTGGGCTAAAGGTAAATTGAAAAGTCACCTTCTACTAGAAGAATCTGAACTGTAATCTTATTTTATTAGCAGTTTTGTAATAGTGTAATTAAGAAATTACATTTAAGTGAAATGTATTTTGATTCTAATCTCAGCTCCACCATTGTTCAGAATATTTATTAATCTTGGAGAAAAGCTTATGTAAAATGCCAAGACATGGAAGCTCCTAGGTTTGTAGACATGAATGACCTATTTCAGTCATTGAATAGGCTAAAATTAGAGCTGTCAGGTACAGATATTCTACTTTTCTCACTTTTTTTCTGTCCATACTCTGTTTTGTCATTTTGGATTTTCCCCAATTCCTTTTATGAAAGAAAAGTTAAGGATAAAAATGTGTCCCAAATTACCAGCTAAAACTGAGGATTGTGGTTTTTCTTTTTGTGTAAAATCGTGTGTATTTAGAAATGTGTCTCTAAGTGGGGGAGGCAAGGTTTGTTTTTTAAAGCAGTTAGTGTTGTATACTTAGCTTACTCTTAAATACAGAAAATGCATGAATGGTTTTGTGTTTTTGTTGATAGTATGAGTTTTGACTATTTTTAGTGGCTGAAAGCTCCAAAATAAAGTAGAGTAAAACAAGGATAATTCAGAAAGCAGTTTCACGTCCAGGTTTTAACACTTTTTAAAATATAAAAATATTTGATTTCCTTCAGTTTTAAGTCTGTGGCCTTCAGTTTTAAGTCTGTGGATTCAAGATGAGTATGCTAATGAAGATGTTGAGTTGAGCCTAAAAATAAAGTAGGAGGCAAAGAAACCCAGAATTTATTTATAAAAAAATTGTGTATTCACTACATGTTTAAACTGTAGTCACCTACAAAGTACTTTCCACCTGATACAATAAACCTAGAAACATTTTTCTACTGCTCTGTTTTTGAATTTGTGCTTTTTAGCACTTCTGCTGTTTTGGGTTTCACTTCTTTTACATTCACCAAAATGTTTCCCTTGGAGGACTTTTTTGATACAGAGAAACATTAAAAAGAGTCTTGGGGTGAGATCAGGTGAATAGGAAAAGTGAGGAATGAAGGCCATGCCATTGTTCTGTTAAAACTGCTAAAAATTGAACACTGTGTGGGCAGGTACACTCATAGATCTTCCATCATGAGATGGGCAAATGGGTTTAGAGTCTTAAAAATAATTCACTGGAGCAGAATGCGGCCTCTCACAACAATGCCAGCTGGTGCACTAATCCAGTGGGTTTCCAGAACCATCTACATAGCCAGGGAACCCTGTACTACAAGGAGCTAGCCCTCCAGGAGATAAGTCTGGTGTTCTCAGGTCTGCCCCATCCCCATGGTCATGTTCAGCCTTATTTGAGCTTAAGTGTAATGCTTCAAAATTTAAGATTTAAGATTTTGCCTCATGTGTCACTTTCTGAGCATTCTGTTCAGTTTAAAGAAACAGCCTATTTGAGCTTTTTGTAACCAGTAGTGGTTATTTAGGCAGTGATGCCTATGTTTTAGTCTAGTAGAGAACTGTACATACTACAATGCTTGATCTACCTTAGTCTTAAGCCAGCCTGTCTTTTCTCCTGGCTCAGACCAGAGTGAAACTGATATACTTAGACAAAATTGCAAAATTCTGGGAATTCCAAGGTTCTTTATTAAAAATTCCCAATGTGTAGTGGAGGATATTGGACCTTTATAGCCTTAGTAAGGTAAGAGTAGTTCTGTTTTCAAAAGGAAGAACAAGTAAAAAGTCTTATCCTGGAAAACTCTCTAGTTAAATATTGTGTTTCTGGCAGAAAAGGAGAGAATGTAGAGCCTAATACATTTACTTCTAACATTTCTTCATAGAGTCTTTGAATCTTTGGAATGCTTGACATTGGTGGAGCACATAGTTCATATTTTAAACCTTATTTTTTTAGGTATCCATAGTTTGCTCCCAGTTAATTATACTCTTTTTAAATTATTTTAAATTGTGATGGAGGAAGGGGGCTATGAAGCCATTTGCAAGAACTGTCAATGGGCCCGAGTTGCCCAGCACCTCAACTATCCACCAGGCAAAAACACTGGGTCCCTGCTAAGATCTCATTATGAGCACATCATTTACCCCTATGAAGTGTTTCAGTCTGGAGTGAACCTTGTGAGGTCCATTAGATGGTTTGCGGCATGATATGATTTTGCTCTTTTATGCTGTTTTGCCTTTCCTTGGTTGGGCTTTCTTTTGACTAGCTGAGGTTAGGGAATGTTGAGTTAATTGATAGAAGTTCAGGGAAGCCATGGACAATATTTTGAAGCTATGGAAAAGTTTTATACCTACTAGACCAGCTGGATGAAAACTGTAATAGTATCCTTTCTGTTTGTGCTGGAGGCTTGGTGTCTATTAGAATGTCTTTATGGACATGATCTTACAGTAGATGTTAGAGGAAAGGAGTTCCTAGTTTAGGCCATTCTCAATGAAAAATAATTAGATAATAAACTCAGAATTACTAAAGTTTTTGAAGGTACTTCAGATCAAAAGAATGCAGGGCTAAAATCCTGGTATTATGTGGGCTTAAAGAATAAGTGAGAACTGATTTAGCAGGTATTTTGAATAATGGTAAGTTTTTTAAGTTCCTTTAATTTGCAAACAAGTTTTTAACAAAATGAATGTGTTTAAATGCATATTATTTAATTCATATAATTCTGTTGGACTTGATATTTTCATTGCAGTTTTTCAGGTGAGAAAATTAAAACACAAGGAGAGGTCCATTGTATTTACAAGACAAAGACGTATGTAAAATAAATTCCTCAACATGTAGACAAATTTTTATAATACATGTTCTGTCATTCCAAAGAACAAGAAAAGGGTTGATTTGTTAGTTAGTTTGAATTGCCAAAGATTTAGAATGAAGGCATGGTTTATATTTGCCGAATGTTCATTTAATTCTTGATTATACCATTTTTTTGCCCATCTCAAGTAGTGTAACACTCATCCATTTGACAGTGAAGGAAAAGACAAGGAATATAAACTACACAGCAGTCCCTTTAGACAGTCTTTACAGCCTTCCAAGTTCGGCTGCTATAGTCGCCGGTGGAAAAAAACGACAGCCTGATGTGAGAGCCTCTTTTTTTTTTCACCCATAAACTGCCAAAATGTGTCTGGGACTTTCTTGAGGGGAGAGTACATTTCTAGAAAACACTGTTGTTTTTTATTTTGACATATATTCCTCAAGGTTGAATTTACAAAAATAAATGAGTTATTTGGTCAATGTGGTTTGCAATATTTTCTTCTTTATATTACAGCTTTTACAGTGTTTAAAAGTAAATGTATTCTTAAATACTGTTTTAGAAGATAGTGTTTGTGAATATTGTGAAGTTCTTTATTTTTTTATTGATTATGCTGTTACAGTTGTTCTATTCCCCCTTTATTCCCCTCCACCCTACCCCTCATCCCCATCATTACCCCCCCTTTAGTTTATGACCATGTGTCTCAAGTCCTTTAGATTCTATATTTCCCATGCTATTCTTGCCCCCCATCTATTTTCTATCTACTGTCTATGCTACTTATTTTCTGTACCTTCTCCCCCCCCTTCTCCTCCTCCCACTCCTCTGTTGCTAACCCTCCTTGAGATCTTCATTTCTATGTTTCCACTCCTGATCTAGCTGTCCTTTTAGTTTGCTTTCGTTTTAGGTGTGGTTGTTAATAACTGTGAGTTTGTTGTCCTTTCACTGTTCATGTTTCTTTAACTTCTTTTTCTTAGATAAGTCCCTTTAACATTTCATATAATAAGGGCTTGGTGATGATGAACTTCTTGAATTTGATCTTATCTGAGAAGCACCTTATCTGTCCTTCCATTTTAAATGAAAGTTTTGCTGGATAGAGCAATCTTGGTTGTAGGTCTTTAGATTTCATGACTTGGAATACCTCTTTCCAACCCCTTCTTGCCTGTAAGGTCTCTTTTGAGAAATCCGCGGACAGTCTGATGGGGACTCCTTTGTAGGTGACTGTCCCCTTAGCTCTTGCTGCTTCTAGGATTCTCTCCTTCATTTTAATCTTGGCTAATGTAATTATGATGTGCCTTGGTGTGTTCCTTCTTGGGTCCAACTTCTTTGGTATTCTCTGAGCTCCCTGGATTTCCTGGAAGTCTATTTCCTTTGCCAGATTGGGGAAATTCTCCTTTATTATTTGTTCAAAAAGGTTTTCCACCAGTGGCTGTGCCTTTCCCCCTTCTGGTACCCCTATAATTCGGATGTTGGAGCGTTTAAAGATGTCCTGGAGGTTCCTAAGACTCTCCTCATTTCTTTGAATTCTTGCTTCTTGACACTTTTCTGTTTGGCCATTATTTGTTTTCTTCTGGTCCACTCCATTGATCTGAGTCCCAGTTTCCTTTTCATTGCTATTGGTGTCCTGTGCAATTCCATTCATTTCAATTAGTTTCGCCTTCATATATTTGTCTAATTTATTGGTATAATCAACCAGTTCTGTGAGGATCCTGATCACCAATGTTTTAAACTGTGCATCTGTAAGTTTTGCTATTTCTTCATCGTTTAGATCTATTGGCTCTGGGGCTCTGAGATCCTCCTGTGCCATTCTTGGTCTGTTCTGGCCCTTTAAGTGTGAGAAGTGGCGCCTTGGATTCCCAGGTCGCTGGGTTGTGATGCTGTATGTGGGGGCGTGGCCAGAGCAGGGAAATGGCAGCCCCCTCTGCTGTTTCTCACAGCTGGGTGCAGAGGAGCAGTGCTGTTGGTGGTTCACCTGGGCCGGGCCACTCAGAGTTGCTGGGTTATGATGCTGTATGTGGAGGTGGGGTCAGAGCAGGGAAATGGCGGCGCCCTCCACTGCCACTTGCCGTGGGGACCTGCCGGCCAGGTCCAACCGCCCACTCCCTCGCCTGTCCACCCACGCACAAATGCGAGACCTCAGTCAACACGCAGCCCCGGGCCCGGCTATCTCCCCCGCGGTTGCTCGGCCTGGTCGCTCGCTGGGTCGCTCACTAGGTCTGACCCTGCGCCTGGATTCTGCAGGCCTGAGTGTGTCTGGCTGAGTCCTCCTGTGCAACCCTGCTTCGCCAGCCACTGGTTTTGCCCCTTACCGGTCAGGCTGAAGAATTTGTTGTTAACAGACTTCCGAAAAGTTCAATTTTCCGTGTTCTGGCTGTGTTTTCTGTTGCTAATATTTAGTTTTCTCTAATCTTGGTTGTGTGAGAAGGCACAGCATATCCACCTATGCCTCCATCTTGGCAGAAGTCCTGTGAAGTTCTTTACCAAGCTCACTATAAATAACTACACATAAAATAACTACATTTTTTTACATATCTTATTGGCAAAATTAAAAATGTGTCAAGGATGGGGAAGTCAGCAGGTTTTTGCACATTGTTAATAGCACTCAATACTAAAAATGTTTAAATTACTAAATTTTTTAATGTTTATGCCCTCCTCTCTTAACTTCTAGTAATTCATTTTTTAGAACAAGTATGTGGATATTAGTACTTTGTGCCCAGGTCTTAAGTTATAAAAGTCACTGAATGATACCATGGAGAAGTCAGTGCCATTGGAATAAAAATTTCATTGGAGCTTAGGCAGAACAGGAGGTCCACTATACCATATATGGCTATTAGGGGAAATATTGTTAGTGAAGGGGCACATAGGAACAAGTGGAAGATATAGGCCACAGCCTTAATTGGAGTTTCTTCAAGAAAAGCAGGACAGAGTGGGATAAACATTTCAAATCTAGCCGGCTTTGGAGCATAGGAACTTTCCTAGATGTTGGTTCCTCAGCATGGGTTGTTTTAACTCAGGGGAATTATTATCTTTGTGAGTGAGAATTTCATGAGGTGGTTGGGTGTCTGGACTTGTGTTTTATTCATTTGTATATGAAAGACATACTCATTTAGATTAATTACTGCCTCCAGGAATTGCCTATTGCTGGGAGCAGCTGGGAAGCATTTTTCTCCTCTTCCCTGGTATTAAAAACCATAAAATATAGTAAATAAAAATATAACTAGTACAGTTAATTACATAGTTGTTTCTAATAACAAAAAAATTAGAAACTGTCAGTGTTGGTCTGATAAAGGAGTAGGGTTAAATTTGTTTTAGAATAGCATTATAATATGCTATTAATATAATAACTCACAAAGTGGATGTATATTGATAGTCTTAGAAATTTTACTTTTTGAAGTATTTATTTTTAGAGAGGTGAAGGGAGGAAGAGAAACATCAGTTTGTGGTTGCCACTCGTATACCCGCTTCTGGGGACCTGAGCTGCAAATCCAGGCGTGTGTCCTGACTGAGAATAGAATCTGTGATGCTTTGGTTCTCAGGCCTGTGCTCACTAGCCAGGGCAAAAATGTTATTCTTGAACAAACCTCTATATTGAGGTCTACCAGACTTTATGTTTATTGGAATACCCTTCTCATGATCATTGGAAATTGTATTTAGTACCATTATCATGTTCCTAGATGACTGTTTCTCAGTAGTATTGTCAAACATGTCTTACTGCCTGCATAAATTAGTCAAGTAGTAAAACAAAGTCAGAAAATATGTATGTTTCTCAGTGTGTAGAAAACTTACAAAAGTGAATCTTGGGCTTTAAATGGAAAGGAGAAATGTAATAGGACTTTAACTTAAAAAGAACAAAAACTGAAGCATAGGTATTCACTAAAAGGAGATACAAGGTGATAATGGTATAGCATGACATATGTATTTAGTGGATTTCCAATTCCCTCTGTCTCTCTGATTACAATGTAAGGAGAAAGGAGTTACTTCTAATGACCTGAGTGCTAAACAGAGTGGGAATCCTCCTGTCTTCTCATTTACATCTTTAACTTAGTTGCACAAATAGACTTGTTTCAATGTGTTTATTGAATTATTTAGTGTAAGGTCTATGCTTTATATTTAAGCCTAAGTAGCCTTATAATCATAGGAGTATTCTCTCCTTTCCTTTATAGCTTTTGGTTTATATACTGCTGATTACCTCCCAGATTTACAAGGCATTTGTCTGTCTGTCTGTTTCTACTTAGCCATGACTTTACTTCAGAGTGAAATTACACAGTAAACCTTGACAATAGTTAGAGCCATTTGATTGATTCTAATGTGATTTCTTGTGCTTTTATTGTATCTATATATCTAAAGCTCAATTTTAAAAAAATTCTTTTAATAGGCAATGCTGACAGAGGAGGGCATTGAGAGAAATCTAGAGTTGAAGAAGCTGCAGATCTATGGGGCAGGTCCCAAGATAATAGGGCTGGGCATTGTGGCCAAGAACAAGTCTTCAAGGAAGAAAGGTGTGAAGCTTAACAGACTCAGACAGCATGAGGGGTAAAGTACTCAAGTACTGTGAAAGACATGATTTGTTAATCCTGATGGAGAATGTACTTGTTTATTTCCAGATTTCTTTCTGATTCTCTTAGATAAACAAAGGGATCATATACCCCCACAGTGTTATGATGGACAGTCAAAATGGGCATGGAAAAATTATGTCAACATTATCTGAGGAGGAATTAAACCTAGAGCCTTGTACCAGGAAGAATCACAGCAATGCCGAGTCTGTAAGGACACTCCTGTGTTGTTCTAATACTGGTTTGGAAATATTAGGACTAAATGGAACCTAAAATTATTTACCTTCTTTCTCCTTCCTTCTTTTTACTTCGGAGCCTTTATTGTGGAGACACAGACAGCCAGTAAGGTTAAGAAACATATTTAATAATTAGGACCAAAAGTCACTTTCCTGTGTTTCAGAACTGTCTAGTAAACTGCTGTATCTTACATACTACTGCCTTTCTTCAATGATCTTGCTTTACTTTTATCTTTATGTATATAAATTTTTACTCTTTTTTTCTTACCCTGTACCTGATTTTCCTAATCTTGAAAATATTGTAGAGTTTCTACATTTTTATAAAATGATATTGTAAACCCCTTTCTTTATTATTCTCATTCCTCTGTGGCCAATTTCATCTTGTTTTTTTATCATTTTTACCTGCCATGTTGCACTCTGTAACTGTTCATCTTCCCAGCAGTTTAATTCTTAGAACAACTCAAATATTTTTAGCCCCACTCTCCTTTCTCTTAACCATCTCCACCTGATGACTGGGACATTATCTTTACTTTTACCATATGTCCCAAGTTGACCCCGTGTTTCTTAAATTTGGACTGTCACAAGTTCTTGTCATTCAAACTGTGGAGTCATTTATGATTTTTCTTCAACTAGTGAATGACTTAGTTCTAGTGCCGTTTATTTTTATTGCAATATATGATGTGTGTACACAAATGTATACATTAGCTTTGCTTGTTTTCTTTTTTACTTTCCAACAAGCATTATAAAAATACATACCCTTACGTTGTTATTTTTTTAATATTTTATTTAGTTACTTTTCAAGTACATTTTTTTAAATCTATTTCTCCCATCCCACCGTAGCCCCCCCCCCCCCCCCCGCCCGGTCTCCCCCCTCCCTCCCATTCCCCCCCAGTCCTCATCTCTGTGTCTTTCATACTTGTTCCTCAAAATCCCTCCCCCTTTTTCCCCTTAAGTTCCCTTCCCTCTCCCCTCTGGTCGCTGCCCACTTGTTCTCTATTTCAGCGTCTTTGTTTTAATTCTGTTTGCTTTCTTGTTTTATTCTTTAGCTTCCTGTCAAAGCTGAGATCATATGGTATTTGTCCTTCAATGCCTGGCCTATTTCACTCAGCATAATGCTTTCCAGTTCCATCCATGTTGTTGCAAAAGGTAGTAGCTCCTTCTTTCTCTCTGCTGCATAGAATTCCATGGTGTATATGTACCACAATTTTTGGATCCATTCATTTACTGATGGGCACCTAGGTTGCTTCCAACTCTTGGCTATTGTAAATTGTGCTGCTATGAACATTGTGGTGCATAGGTTCTTTGAAATTGATGTTTTAGGATTCTTGGGGTATAATCCTAGCAGTGGAATTGCTGGGTCAAAAGGCAGGTCAATTTTTATTTTTCTGAGAAAATTCTATACTGTTTTCCATAATGGTTGTCCCAGTCTGCAATCCCACCAACAGTGAACTAAGGTCCCCTTTTCCCCACACCCTCTCCAACATTTGTTGTTTGTTGCTTTGTCTATTATAGCCATCCTGACTGGTGTAAAGTGGTATCTCATTGTGGTTTTAATTTGCATCTCTCTGATAGCTAATGATATTGAGCACCTCTTCATGTGTCTCTGGATATTCTGTATGTCCTCTTTGGAGAAGTGTCTGTTCAAGTCCTTTTCCCATTTTTCAATTGGGTTCGATGTCTTCCTAGAGTGGAGTCGTGTAAGTTCTTTGTATATTTTGGAGATTAAACCTTTGTCTGAGGTATCATTGGCAAATATGTTTTCCCATACAGTTGGTTGTCTTGCTAATTTAATACTGTTTTCTTTAGCCATGCAGAAGCTTTTTATTTTGATGAGATCCCATTTGTTTATTCTTTCCTTTATATTCCTTGCTCTAGTGGACATATCCGTAAAAATGTTGCTGCGTGGAATATCTGAGATTTTCTTGCCAATGTTCTCCTCTAGGACTTTAATGGTGTCATGGCTTATATTTAAGTCTTTTATCCACCTTGAATTTATTTTGGTGTATGGTGTAAGTTGGTGCTCAAGTTTCATTTTTTTGCACGTAGCTGTCCAGTTCTCCCAACACCATTTGCTGAAGAGGCTATCTTTATTCCATTTTATGTTACTGCCCCCTTTGTCGAATATTAATTGACTGTAGAGGGTTGGGTTGATTTCTGGGCTCTCTGTTCTGTTCCATTGGTCTATGTGCCTGTTTTTATGCCAGTACCAGGCTGTTTTGATTACCGTGGCTTTCTAATACAGTTTGATGTCAGGTATTGTGATCCCTCCTACTTTGTTCTTCTTTCTCAAAAGAGCAGCTGCTATTCGGGCTCGTTTATGATTCCATATAAATTTTTGAAGTGTTTGTTCTATGTCTGTGAAATACGCCATTGGTACTTTAATAGGTATTGCATTGAATCTGTATATTGCTTTGGGTAGTATGGACATTTTGATGATGTTAATTCTTCCAATCCATGAACACGGTATATGTTTCCATTTGTTTGTGTCTTCCCTGATTTCTTTCTTCAGTGCTGTGTAGTTTTCTACATACAGGTCTTTTACCTCTTTGGTTAGGTTTATTCCCAGATATTTTATTTTTCTTTTTGCTATATCGAATGGGATTTTTTCCTTGATTTCTGCTTCTGCTGATTCATTGTTTGTATACAAAAATGCCTTTGATTTCTGGATATTGACTTTGTATCCTGCTGTTTTGCCAAATTCATTAATTAGTTTGAGCAGTTTTTGGGTAGAGTCTATAGGATTTTCCATATACACTATCATGTCATCTGCAAACAGTGACAGTTTTGCTTCCTCCTTTCCTATTTGGATGCCTTTTATTTCCTTTTCCTGCATGATCGCTGTGGCCAAAACTTCTAATACTATATTGAATAGAAGTGGTGAAAGTGGACATCCTTGTCTTGTTCCTGATCTTAGTGGAAAAGCTTTTAGTTTTTGTCCATTGAGTATGATATTGGCTGTAGGTCTCTCATAAATGGCCTTTATTATATTGAGGAATGTTCCCTCTATTTCCATTTTGCTGAGTGTTTTTATCATAAATGGGTGTTGTACCTTATCGAAAGCTTTTTCTGCATCTATTGATATGATCATGTGGTTTTTGTCTTTGCTTTTGTTATGTGATGAATTACATTTACTGTTTTGCGAATGTTGAACCATCCTTGCATAGCTGGGATGAATCCCACTTGGTCATGATGTATAATCTTTTGGATATATTGTTGGATGCGATTTGCTAATATTTTGTTGAGGATTTTAGCGTCTATGTTCATCAGCAATATTGGCCTGAAGAGTTCTTTCTTTGTTGTATCTCTATCTGGTTTGGGAATTAGGATGTTGCTGGCTTCATAAAAGGAGTTAGGGAGTTTTCCATCCTTTTGGATTTTTTGGAATAGTCTGTGAAGAATGGGGGTTAGCTCTTCCTTAAATGCTTTGTAGAATTCTCCTGTGAATCCATCTGGTCCAGGGCTTTTGTGTGATGGGAGTTTTTTGATTACTGCTTCAATTTCTTTTGCTGTTATTGGTCTATTCAGCTGTTCTACTTTTTTTTCATTGAGTTTTGGGAGATTATATTTGTCTAGAAATGTGTCCATTTCCCCTAGGTTCTCAAATTTCTTGGCATACAGTTCTTCATAGTAATTTCTTACAATCCTCTCTATTTCTGTAGTATCGGTTGTAATCTCTCCTCTTTCATTTCTGATTGTTTTTATTTGTGTCCGTTCCCTTCTTTTCTTGATGAGCCTACTTAAAGGCTTGTCTATTTTGTTTATTTTTTTCAAAGAACCAACTCCTGGATTCATTGATCTTTAGAATTGTAGTTTTAGTCTTTATGTCATTTAGTTTTGCTCTGATCTTAGTTATTTCCTTCCTTCTACTTGCTTTGGGCTGTTTTTGTTGTTGTTCCTCGAGTTCTTGCAGGCCTAGAGTAAGTTCATTTGTTTGAAATGTTTCTGTTTTCTTTAGGTAGGCCTGTATTGCTATAAACTTCCCTCTCAGGACTGCCTTGGCTGTATCCCATAAGTTTTGGATTGTTGTGAGATCATTTTCATTTGTTTCCAGAAACTTTTTGATTTCTTCCCTAATTTCATTCTTGACCCATTCATTGTTTAATAGCATACCGTTCAGTCTCCATGATTTTGAGTGTTTTGGGTTTTTTCCTTTGGGGTTGGTTTCCAGTTTCAGTCCCTGTGGTCAGAGAAAATGCTTGGTATGATTTCAATATTCTTGAATTTGTTGAGGCTTGTTTTGTGTCCTATCATGTGGTCTATCTTTGAGAATGTCCCATGTACATTTGAAAAGAATGTGTATTTAGCTTCTTTGGGGTGAAGAGCTCTGTATATATCAGTTAGGTCCATTTCATCAAGGGTGTTGTTTAATGCCACAATGTCTTTGTTGATATTTTGTTTGGAAGATCTGTCCATTTTTGATAGTGGGGTGTTCAAATCCCCCACTATAATTGTGTTGCTGTCTATATCTTTCTTGAATTCCTCTAAGATTTTCCTTATATATTTTGGTGCTCCTATGTTGGGTGCATATATATTTATGATGTTAATGTCTTCTTGGTGGATTCTTCCCTTGAATATTATGAAGTGACCTTCTGGGTCACTCTTTATGGCTCTTTTTTTGAAATCTATTTTGTCTGATATGAGAATTGCTACCCCAGCTTTTTTTTCTTGTCCATTTGCTTGGAAAATTTGTTTCCAGCCTTTCAGTTTTAGTCTGTGATGGTCTTTTGTCCTAGGTGGGTCTCTTGAAGGCAGCATATGTGTGGGTCATACTTTCTTATCCATGACGCTATTCTGTGTCTTTTGATTGGAGCATTTAATCCATTTACATTTAAGGTTATTATTGATAGGTACTTATTCATTGCCATTTTTGTACCTGTGTTCCTCTGTGTCTGTCTCTTTTCCTTCCTTTCCTTAAAGCAGACCTTTTAGTATTTCTTGTAGAGCTGGCTTGGTGGCAGCAAATTCTTTTA